TCGCATCATCAAAGACAGTAGCAGGAACAGGTAGTTCGTACGCAGGAAGCTGCACGAGTTATAGCATGCAGTCGCTATGCTACTACATACCTATGACGAATAACGACTCCCTCTATCGAGAATAGTCGCCCGCTTGAGCGCTAATGGCTCGACGACCGGCGCGCGGGTCATGACCTGCTGTAAGTTCATCACTCGTGCTCGATTTTGGAGTGATAATTATTCGGCCATTTGGCACACCAGCACTAGCGTTTGAAAATGTGTTTGGCTGTGCGCTCCCCGAGCAGCAAATTGCTTTGACCAAACGGAGCCATGGCATCGAATACAGGGTCGGGAGGCCATTGCAGACAGGAGGCACGTAAACCATGACCCAAGCAATTTGCGGCTCACGCGATGATCACTTCTGACGAGAATTTTGGCCTCATCGAAATTGAATGTGGGACTGGGTTTCGTCAAATAACCAACGACATGAGAATTTCTGTCACACTGCTGATGAATAAAGTTTTTGCCCCATCGGTCGCGTCTACTTCCTCTCATCCTCACTTCCTAAGAGTCACATTTTCGCCTCTGTTGGCAAACTCCCTACATGTTTTACGAAAATAAGATAGCGTAACTCCCCACGCAACAGTTCGACTGTCGACTTTGAAGAGGTCCACGGTGTGCTCCGCAGCAGCATGGTAAAGGGAGGGTGAATTTAATTGGATCATAGTGAAAATAGACCCGTGTTGCATCTACCTCACTCTTTGTCCCACTCCTCTACCTGTGTCCAAAAGCGCCATAGAGACCACATTAAAAAGGAGCCATTGCGGCCTGACTCAGTCCGAAAGTCCTCCATTCCACATGACAGAACACACACTGGGCTGGCCGCACGGTCCGAGGTTCCCGTCAGCTGGCAACCTTCCAAGCCACGAACTGGCTCCCTTGACACGCACAAGCCAGGACTTACACAACCAAGGGGTTAGAAGAAGCCATCGCCGTCTGACTCCCGGTCCACGAATCGGCGACTAAAGGCATAAGACACACACTGAGTTGAGGGTGTGTCTGCGTCAGCTGACAGCCTTCTTAGCCACTGGGATAGTCTCAGGCTCGAATCACACATGTAGTATAGCAGCTGCATGCGGAAGGAGCAGAATTAGCTACTCACCTAATATGTTTAATTACATGCATGAGTTAAGTCAAATTGCTAGTACATGCACTTACAACGCTGTCTCGGCTAGCGCAGTCTTCCGGGGGTATCGACGCCTTTTCTACCTACAGCCCTCAACCTATCTCGCGCTGGAGTGTAGGGGTGGACTGAGGCAGCTCTAAAGCCATGCACCTAATCTGGCTTAATTTAGCACTAAGGTTTGTGTTTAATGTTTTGGGGCATCAGCTCGCCCTATCGAGCACCTTCAGGCTATTTCATTTAGAGGTGTAGCGCTGAGTCGAGGCAGCACTAAAGCTTGTACCTAATCTGCCGGATACAGCCGGTCTTGTCTGGATTCACCCCCACCTCCCCCTGCCCTTCTCATGTTGCTGTGGGACGCTGACACAAGTCAGCGCGCAGGCACATGGCAGTCCGACCGTCGCTCACGACTATGTCCACGACGAGCTTCAGCAAGCTGAACGTAGACAGCACAACTTGTTAGGTAGGTGAGAGCGCCATACAGACCACATTAAGGAGCCATTGCAGCCCGACTCTCAGCCCGCCGGTTAACCACTCCACACAACAAGACGCACACTGGGCAGTGTCAGAATTATCCCATCAGTTAGCAACCCTCCAAACCGCGGCTTTTAGTG